GGGTGTGGTGGTGCATGCCTGTAGTCCCAGCTACTCGGGAGGCTGAGGCAGAAGGATTGCTTGAGCCCAGGAGTTTGAGGTTGCTGTGGGCTAGGCTGATGCCACGGCACTCTAGCCTGAGCAACAGAGCGAAACTCTGTCTCAAAAAAAAAATAAAATAAAAAATAAAATCGGCTAAGGGGTTTGCTACTCTTTCAAGTTAAAACATTAAGAGGAAGCATTTTAAATACACCTTAACACTATAACATTTTTCTTATTATTTTAGTTACTAAGAGAAGTATCACTCTAAAATTATTTTTCTTTTCTATTTGTAAACAGTTTTATTGTGATATAATTCACATACCATACTGTTCACTCATGTAAAATGTGGAGTTAAATGTTTTTTAGTGTTCACGGCATTGTGGACCTATTACCATGATCCAGTTTTAGAACATTTTTGTCCTTCCCAAAGGAAATCTGTACCCATTAGTTGTTACTTCCCATCCTACCTCCGTTACTCTAAACAACCACTGATCTACTTTCTGTCTTTATATAAAGATTTGCCTCTTCTGGATATTTCATATACATGGAATCATATGTGTTCTTCTGTGACTTACGTTAGCAAGGTTCAGCCATGTGTAGCATGTATTAGTACTTTATTCCTTTCCATTGCTGAATAATATTCTATTTTATAGATGTGTCGCATTTTGTTTATCCATCAGCTAATGGACATTTGTATTTTTTCCACTTCTGACTATCATGAATAATGCTGCTATGAACATTTATTTGTGTACAAATTTTGAATTGGCAAATATTTTTATTTCTTTGGGTACATATCTTCTAGGTGTGGAATTGCTGGGCCATATGGTAACTCTGTGTTTTGTTTTTTGAGAACTGCCTGACTGTTTTCTAAAGAGGATGGAACATCTTATAATTCTCACCAGCAGTGTATGAAGGTTCCAGCCTCCCTATGTCCTTGCTGACAATTTGTTACTGTCTGTTTATTATAGCCATCCTGGCAGGTGTGAAGTGGTATTTCATTGTGGTTTTGATTTGCAGTTCTCAGATGGCTTAATGATTTTGAACACCTTTTTGTGTGCTTATTGGTTATTTCTTTATCTTTGAGAAATATCTATTCAGATTCTTTGCCCACTTTTTAAAAGCAGTTTAAAACAATAAACATTTATTATTTCACAGTTTCTGTGGGTCAGGAATGTGGGTGCAGCTTAGCTGGGTCCTGTGGCTCAGGGTTTCTTATGAGGCTGCAATCAAGTCGTCAGCCTGTGCCAATGGGTGGCTCATGCCTGTAATTCTGGCACTTTGGGAGGCTGAGGTGGGAGGATCACTTGAGGTCAGAAGTTCGAGACCAGCCTAAGCAAGAGCAAAATCTGATATCTACAAACAATAGAAAAATTAGCTGGGCGTGGTGGTATGTGCCTGTAGTCCCAGCTACTTGGGAGGCTGAGGCAAGACGATGGCTTGAGCCGAGGAGTTTGAGGTTCCAGTGAGCTATGATGACACCACTGCATGCTAGCCTGGGTAACAGAGCAAGACCCTGTCTCCAAAAAAAAATGAAAAAAAACCAAAATGTCAGCCTGTGCCGTGGTCTCATCTGAATGCTTGATTAAGGAAGGATCCTATTCCAAGCTCACTCATGTGGTTGTTGGCATGATTCTGGTTTTTGTGGGTTTTTAGACTGAGGGCCTCAGTGTTTCACAGGCTGTTGCCAATAGACCACCCTCAGTTCCTTGCCACATAGACTTCTCCATTAGGGCAGTTCACAGCAAGGCAGCTGACATCCATCTCTGAAGCAAGTAAATGAAAGCAAGAAAGAACAAGATGGAAGCCAGAGTTTTTAAAAATCAGAATATGCCTTAGTCTTAGAAATGATATCCAGGCGGGGTGTGGTGGCTCGCTTCTGTAATCCTCCACTCTGGGAGGCTGAGGTGGAAGGATCGCTTGAGCTTAGGAATTCAAGACCAGCCTGAGCAAGAGTGAGACCTCGTCTCTACTAAAAATAGAAAAATTGACCAAGTGTTGTGGCCCACGCCTGTAGTCCCAGCTGCTTGGGAGGCCGGGGCAAGAGGATCACTTGAGCCCAGGAGTTTGAGGTTGCGGTAAGCTACAGTGATGCCACTGCACTCTAGCCTGGGCCACAGAACAAGACTCTTTCAAAAAAAAGGAAGGAAGGAAGGGAGGGAGGGAAATGACAAACGACATACAGACGTTGTATTCATTAGCAGTAAATCACCACACACACACAAAAATAATAATAATAAATAAGAAGTCAAGGAGCAAACTTCTGGAAGTAGTGGTTAGGTCGATGGCATAGATTTTGTATTCACTGGTGTATACTTAATCTCCAGTTTATCAAATAGTATACATTAATTATGTACAACTTTTGGTATGTAAAAAATCGGTGAAAAAATAAATATTAGAAAGAAACAAGTCATAGATCTAGCCTGTACTCAAGGGCAGGATTACATAGAGCATGTGATCTTAAAAACAGCCTGCCATAATCTGCCTTTGCCCACATTGTAATTTTAATTGGGTTGTTTGGCTTTTTATTACTTGGTTGTAGGAATTCTTTATATACTAGATATAATTATTGGACATGGGATTTTTAAGTATTTTCTCCCATTCTGTTGGTTGTCTTTTCGATGGTATGGTTTGCAGTGCAGAAGATTTTAATTTTGATGTGGTCAATTTATCTATTTTTTTCTACTGTCAGATGTGCTTTGGGTGTCATATCTGAGAAACCATTGTCAAATTCCGACATGACAAAGATTTACTCCTATGTTTTCTTCTAATAGTTTTATAGTTTTGGCTCTTAATTTAGGTCCGTGACCTAGTTTTTGTGAATGGTGTTGAGTTAAGGGTCCAGTTTTTTTTTTTTTTTTTTGGCATGTGGACATCCAATTGTCCCAGCACCATTTGTTGAGAAGACTATTCTTTTCCCATTGATTTGTGTTGGCACCCTTGTCGAAAATCAGTTAACCGTAAATGTGAGGATTTATTTCTGGACTCTCAATTGTATTCTATTGATCTGTATGTCTGTCCTTATGCGAGCACCACCCTTCTTGATTACTGTAGCTTTGCAATAAGCTTTGAAATCAAGAAGAACTTTGTTCTTCTTTTTCATTTTGTTTTGGCTATTCTGGGTTTCTTGCATTCCCATACGAATGCAAGGATCGGCCTGTTCTTTTACACACACACACACACACACACACACACACACACACACACAGGTAGTTTGAAAATTTGATAGGGATCGTATGCATCTGTGGCTCAATTTGAGGAATATTGTCATCTTAACAATAGTAAGTCTTCTGATTGATGTTGTATTTATTTAAGTCTTTAATTTCTGTCCAGAATATTTTACAGTTTTCAGTGCACAAGTTTTACATTTCTTTTGTTAAATTTATACATATGAATTTTATTTTTTTGGTTTTATTGTAAATGGCATGCATTATTTTCTTAATTTTTATTTTCAGATTGTTCATTGCAAGTGTAAAGAATTACAACTGGTTTTTTAATATGGATCCTGTGTCCTGCAGCCTTGCTGAACCTCTTTATTAGCTCTATAGTGCATTCCTTAGAATTGTCTATATATAATAAGATCATGCCATCTGCAAATAGAGATAGTTTTACTTCTTTCCAATTTGGGTGGCTTTTATTTCATTTTCTTGCCTTATTGTCCTGGCTCGAACCTCCAGTACAATGTTGAGTAGAAGTAATGAGAATGGACATCCTTGTCTCTGATCTTAGTAGGAGAGCATTCTGTTTTTTGCCATTAGGTATGATGTTAGCTGTGCGTTTTTTGTAGACCTCTTTATTAGGTCGAGGTAGTTCCCTTCTATTTCTAGTTTGTTGAGTTTTATATCATGAAACGTTCTTGGATTTTTGTTAAAATTTTTACATCTGTTGAGATGATTGTGGTTTTTGTTGTCTAATAGGATGTATTACATTGATTTTTTTTATATTGAACCCATCTTGCATTTCTAGAACAAATCCTAATTGGTATATAATCTTATACGTTGTGTGAGGTGAGTCATGGGTGAGAGCTTATTCTCAGGACTTTCATGAGCCTGTGTGCAGCCCCACACCTGCGATCTAGATTCCCAGGCCTATGATGGAACTTTTCAGAGCCTCTGTGGACATCTCATTTCCCAGTTTGTCTGCTTAAGTATTTTGGTCACCTGCCTGTTTGCCCCGACTGTTACTGACAAACACCCAGGGTGGGAGGTCGGGGAAGATAGACATTTCCCAGTGGGTGAGCTCTGAGGTCAGACCGAGGAAAGCTCTGTGATTAAAGGTTAAGTGCTAACAGTTACCTGGGAATGGGCTTTGACGGAGGTCCAACCCCTTTCTGTCAATCTCGTACAGTAGCAGATGAATTCAGAATAGTGCACAGAATACACTGGAAAGAAAAATCCGAAAGCAGAGATTAATTTAGCAGCACTTACCTAGATCTCCATGTGAGATAATTGCCCAGATTTTGGGTAGTGGCACTGGAAACAGAGAAGAAATTTTTGGCCTTTTCTTGTCAAGAAGAAATTGGTAAATATGTTTACAAAGTAGTTATTTAATATAACATTTATTTATTTTTGATGACCAAAGTTTACTGCACGTTTATTATAAAATACAGAAAAGCAGCTGAGCATGGTGGCATGTATCTGTAGTCCCAGCTGCTTGGGAGGCTGAGGCAGGAGGTTCACTTGAGCCAGGAGTTTGCATCTAGCCTGGGCAACACAGAGAGACCTGTCTCTTTAAACAAACAAACAAAATATATAAGCACACACACAAACAGATCTAGATTTTTAGGATCTACCTGTTAGAGAAGGAATATTTTCCCTAAATACTATACTAATTATGAACCTGTAATTTCATATTGTACTTTTTGTGAAAATAGAGCCAAGCCATGAATTTTTAAAAGCACTCTTGTTAAAATATGTTTAAAAAATTGGTGCCATAGTAATTTAAACTTTGTAGTTAATTGTACTCTTTTCCTTCCCTTTCAGGTGGATGCACGGAGCATACCAGTGTTAGCAAAATGGCAAAATTCATATAGCATTAAAGTTGTACTTCAAGAGCTAAGACGTCTAATGATGTCCAAAGAAAATATGAAGCTTCCACAGCCACCAGAAGGACAAACATACAACAATTAATTTTAGTGGATCTCAAACTTGTCTTAAATCAACAACCTTCTACTCATGTTAATGTCTTGATTAAATATCACAATGCAAAATACCCACACATTAAGTAAAAGAACTCCACCTGGTAGACATGACCTGGACGTTTGTATTAAATAAGAATGTATTTAATATATGTACACCCATTATGTTTTCAGGTAACAGGAGGAAAAATGCACAATTTTTTTTCTCTTGTTAAGGCACTGTCATTTAAACATAAACCTGGAATACTCGAGATAGAATTCAGGTTTACAAGATGAAAGCGTGAAGAGAGGTGTCAGATGGCAGTGGAAGCATGTGTGTTTCTGAAAAGTAAAAACCTCAAGAAGGAAAAACAGAAATGGCAGGCATTATCCATCTTGCTTAGCGAAAGGCTGCAGTTGAAATTGTTTAAAGTAGCAGGTACAATGAATATTGTCACAAATTGTGTTAAGTTTTGAAGCGGTGTGGGTGCTGACTACTAGTAGTATCAAAAATATGTTCAGGATTGTTTTGATACCTGTATTTATAATAAAAAATGTTGGGGGGGTTGACGAGTTTCTGTTAAAAGCTGTTCCTGTGTGTTACATGTAACAGACATGGTAAATATTTGTTTACAGTCTTTGTTTAACAAACCATGCATTTAGGTTTAAGTGAAGTCAACAAAAAGGAAATAGGTGTATGGATATGTGATTTTGAGATTAAAGTTAGTCTTAAAATGTAAATAAAATGTGGAACGTGTGTCCTCGGACTGTGCCATCTCTATTATATTGACTCTATATGTACAGTGCCTTGCTAAGGCAGCAAAAATTGGATTTATTGTAGCTTTTCATCTGTCACATCCTTTATTGTTTACCCTGTTTTGTATACTTCTTGTGGATTGGGACTTGCGGAGTATTTCAGAGAACCAATTACCTAATTAATTTAATTTCTTTGGACGAGGAGGAATTCCAGGTATTATATTTTGAATTTGATTTCACCAGAAATATTATTATTAAGAAGATCTTTGAATTCTAGCACTAGATTCTTAGAGAATTGTAGATTGCAAATTATTCAAATATATATTCCATTTTTTCTTCATAACATCTTTTTTCTTTATTTTTCTGTGAAGCTTTTGGTTAATAGATTGAACTAATGGAGACATTTCCTTCTCCAATTAATGCTTTTCATACTAATGAAGATTAATTTCATTTAGTCCATGTATCCTCCACTCTAACAAGTAAGTAACTATGAAGTTGAAAATTCATTTATGTTCTGTTTTTACCAAAGGGACATGAGGCTTTGGGTCGCTGGTTTTCACTACAAAGCACTGGGTATATTGCTTTGTTGGAAATGCCATTTTGTTAGAAATTCATTGAAGAATATAGAGAGGTGGTTAGGTAAATTCTCCTTTTATTTTGACAAGCTTAATACTTTGTCCATAGTTCACCCCAGCAAATCAAAGCCATGATTGTCAAAATATCAAATTAGATGTTCAAACTTTGCTTATAAAGAAAAAATAATCAACCTTGGACATACATGAAAATATTTAGTTACTTTTGTAGTGTAACAGTGAATTTCTTAAACATACCCTGATGTTTTCATCAAGCTCATTCAAAGGCAGAGTTTTGAGCTACCTTTTCTTGGTCAAAAGTACTTTAAAGTCAGTGACAGTTTATCTAAATGTATTAATTTCAGCATGATTACTCAGTTATCACAGATGTTTAAAATGCTTTAAAATGACACATAGAGAACATACACATACAAATTAATGCATGTGTAATTTATTAAAATACATTTGAAATGAGCTATTACCTGGAAATATAGTCTTAAAATTTTTAAATAGTTAAAGGAGATTAAGTTGAATTATACTGACACTATATAAAGAAAGAGTCTGATGGTAACTGATGTCTGAATCAATCTCTCTAATAACTTGTTTTCTGCTTTGAAAACTTTGTGTCTTGTCGTACATGGAAGCTAGTGTGAAGCTATTCGAATGCTGTTCACAGGCTGAACATCTGGGTACCTTGATCTCTTGTCCTCTTTCCCCATGTCCACCACTGAGAAAGGATCCCCTCTCCCCCAGTACATGTTGTCAGAATCAGCCCTATAATGCTTATTTCTCTTTTGTTTTTGGGATTATGGATCTCTGCAGAAATCTGCATGCCAATTAACCAATTTCCAAAGCAGAATCCATTTTGCATGTCACAATCAAAATGTGCAAGGCAATCTAAGAGATGCTGGGTGATTATAAGAGGAGTTAATATAGAGCCACTCTTAATTATCGTAACATTTCTAAGACAGCAGTTTTGAAGCAATTTTTCCTTTGTTTTGTAAAGTGGCTAAGGTTGTAGAAGTGTGTGGTATTACTTTTTAAATGACCTGTAAAATTGCCTTAGAAATTTGTTTAAAAGGCTAGCAAGTAAGAGACCCTTGAGGATGATCATATATTAATAAAGATTATGAAAACAAAATTCTTGTCCTATTAGGTCAGTGTTATGCTTTAATAGTTTTAACTACGTAATAACTAATTTTCAGAATTGATAATTTAAAAAATGTTTTTTGTGGCATTTTAAAGGAATGGCATTTGTTACGGGTTTATGTGTAACTTTACGGGATTTCAGACATTTGGAAGGATAGTCAATGGTATTTAAGTCTTTTGAATATAAAAATAGAGAAAATTTATGATTTTTATTATCCTTTTAAAAGACTTGTTCCCATTTAAAATTTGAGTAACTGCACAGTGAATTAGTTGGACTCATGGTTTTAGTCTGGATTACTTAATACCAATACATTGATTTTAGTGTTAATTCCCATTAAATATATATATAATTGGTAAATACATATGAAATATTGTTTTGAAAATTTAGAGGAGTTAGCTGGACAATATTAATGTGTTTTCCTTAAGAGGTTTGGTATGTATGGCTTTGCATGGCTCTGGTAGGTGCATCGTGGGAAGACAGCATTTAACTCTAGTCAGGACCATATCAGTTTTTTTAATGAGCACATGACTGTGTTCTAATGTATGTTTTAAAGAATATAAGTACTACTAATAAAGTCTAGTATCATGCATAATAGGATTGCAGGAGGTACTTAAAGAATTTTTTTTCCAGGTTTTCCTTTTATAAGTATACTTTCAGGCATATATATGAATAGAGTCATGGTATCATTTATTGCTGGGAAGAACCTAAAAGGCACTGATTTTAATTTTTGGATAAGTATCAGTGTAATTTTCCAGTACCAGCTTGATTGGCTTTTGATTATTTTCACAAAAAATTCTAACTCCTCGAGGATTTCAATAGGTGTATATATTTTGTATATAAGATAGAAACATCGTAAAAGGAATGGATGCAGTATATTATAAGATTGATAGGACCATTAGCAGTTCCCACCCAATAACTAAGTTTACTAAAAAATAAGAAATCCATGGGAATAGAATATCTTTTATGCTAAAATCAATATGCCTTATAGAAGTTGCTAAATAGTACATGGAAATCCTACCATAGTTCATACTGAAAATGTTTAAGAAGTATTGTGGAGTGTTGAAAATAACGATACACGATAAGTATTTTCTGAAGAGAAAATTAATGGAGGTATTTGGTGATAAAATACAGAAAATAAGTGATAAGTCAAAACCACCATTTTGTGAAACAAAGGAGTTTTGCAAACTCATAGAGGGAGTTACATGATTTAAAACAATCATTGGATATGAAGAGGTTGCCATGGTATTTATATCCTTAGAAGGATGTTCTCATTTTAAAAAATTCTTACGGGTCTGTCTGCTCCATCCGATTTTTACATGTAGTCTATAAGACCAACTCAAGGTTTTTTGTGCAAGTTTATTTATGAAGTCAATGATAAAATCCAGATCTCATTTTCTTAACTTGGAAAGATTCTAGGAATCATCCTTTCTCGGGTGAGTAAGTGACCAAATACCATTTAAGGGTTATGCAGTGATCCGTTTGCTGTCAAGTGTAGACTTACTATATGAATTCTTTTATCTTGTCCTTGCTCAGTAGTGAGTAGCTACTTCATCTAGAAATTTTGGCAGCCAAAAGATTATACAAAAGCAAAGTTAACCTTCTGCCTCCGAAGGAGGACTAGTAGTTGGCACTAAGAAACCAGTATTAATAAGAAACCTGTGAGCAGTAAAACAAACCATTGACTTATTGGTAGTAAAAACTTTCAGTTGCTTGTTCAACACAGTATTTGAGTAATTAAAAACAACTCAGATTACCAGGAAGCACTCTTAACAATTGAGTCCATATTCTTCCTCTCAATAGTTTTTTTTTAAAAACAGGCCTTTAACAATAGATTACAAAGTAATCTTGAAAATTCACATTATAATGTGAAATGAGATTTTTAAAAGGACTTCCTCATTAAAATGTAGTAAAATTAGTTATAATACTGAATGTCCTTTTTTTTGGTTTAAGGACTTTCATCCATTTTTAAGTAACAAACGGTACTTGTAAATGCTTTATTACACAGGGATGGGATTTTATAGCCCTTGAAGTTTAGTGGCTTTTAATTTGAAGAAAAAAGATGTTCTTCACAGTTGATAATTGAGAAAGAGAAATGTATTGTTTGATTTCTTCTCAAGCCACTCTGGCCAAATAAACAATGACAGTCAAATAGATTACAGCCATTAACATAAATTATCTTTCTATTATAATTTTTAAAATCTAGGTAATTGAAATGATTAAAGTGGGTGATAAACTTTTCTTCAATTATCCTGACACTCAAGTGAAGATAATTGGGTTCACAAGAAAAGTAAAGTATCTAATTGCCTGGGTTTCTTAATCTTGAGTAATGAATGGACCCCTATGAGAAGATAATTCTTGTGGACTAATACTGCCTTGAATTATTTTTGTTAAATTATTGTTTAATGTATGCATTGTGTAAACTTAGGCTCTTAGCTCTTTTAAAATTATAAAGTAAATTACACTCAACTACACAGTGCTTACAATTCAAAATAATATTGAGAATGTTTCGTTGAATCAATTTCTGCCTGAAATGTCAATATTGGTGCCATCTGTTGTTTTTTTCCTTTGTTTTTGTAATTTGCCACGTCTGTAGTACCATGTGCTACTGGACCTCTCAAATTTTCTTACCTTTTTTCTTACCAAACTATTAAAACATCCTTGTTAGGTTATTTGACCTTCACTTGGTATAAATACAATTGTGTATTAAGCCCACCTCTTTTCAAGTCAGAGACAGTTCTTTCAGAGAACTAAAACTCCCGAGACTTTTTGTTCTCCTTGGAGACTGCAGTTGATTGTGAAGAGTTACAGTAAGACTTTGTTGTGGCTGTGGTCCTCTAGAGGAGTAAAAATTACCTATCATGGTGATGGTGCCATGTTAATAACATTTTAAATTAGGTCGACACAGTTTAATCAATGATATCTTAAAGCTAAGTGGTGCGATTTCCCCACACGCGATGGTGAGGGTGCTGATGGCATTTGTTGGTCTAAAAGATAAACTGCAGTTAAAAGTGCCCCTCCCCATGCCTGTGACTCCCACGCCATTGTTCCTTCGAGAACTCCCCTTACCTGTCCTCTCTTTGCCCCTCCCCTGCCCCTCCCTTTCTACCAGAATGGTCACCTCTCTCTCCTTGTGACCAATTCTGTTCCTATTTAGTTAGTTCTTCCTTTAAACTTAGCGCTTTCACTCTTTCCCTATCATCCTCTTCCTTTGACATGGAAGGCTGCTCTTGAAAGATTATCTCCCCAAGTGAGCCCTTTCTATGCAAAGTCTAACTCTAGTCCTGTT